TAACCCATGGAATTAATCATGGCATTTGTGGTGTGTTAATGGTGATTAATTAGCCATTAACACGTCCGTTACGCTACGCTCCGTTTAAAATTTGTCCCGAATAATTGGAGATTAATGGCCAGTTAACTCCGTAAAAATGGACTAATTTTAAACAATACGTAAAATTAATAAAAGAAGATTGGTTCAGTAAAATTGCAAAAATTGCAATCCTCACCATATTCTTTTATTAACGGGTTAACTCTGAGAATCAATTTCTCATTCACCCTCTACCATTTTTGTCGTATAAATTGTCAAAACATTTATCTCATTTAAGAGAACACACGTCCATTAATAAATGGTTAAAACCGTTAGTGGACCTATTGACAAATATACCCAAATTGGTCCATTTAATGCCAATTAAAATGCCAAAAATTCCAACAATACATACATACATACATACTAAAAAAGGTTCCATACTAGCAACTGGAAAAATGGAAATAAAAAAAGCGGAGATCTAATGCAAGTTTTGAGGAGAAAAGATCAAATGTATAAGGAAAGAGAGATTAAAATGTAAAAGTCCTAAAATGCCCAGGCACTAAAACGGAAATAGACTAGAGAAAGATCCAAATCTAACGGTTCTATATCTGTGTGTGTGTCTATATCTGTGTGTGTGTGTTTATTTGTATTTATTCTCAAACAGTTAATTTTACCAAACATGTTTAACGATCAACCAACACATCCATTCAGTCAAACCTGAACTAAACAATCATTCAAAACAGCTAACACAAACAATCAATATCCAAACAAGGCCAATAGCTTTCCACCCCAACAATTGCGCGACACTTGTTTAAGAATGATGGGAAATTAACAACATTGAACGAAATACCATTTTCAATATAAAATCTTCCCACATCAAGACAAATTATCTCCTTAGCTTCCCTTTCACCTATTGGTTTTTTCTGGAATGCCAGCATTTTCGAGATTGGCATATATGACAATTCTATCCATTGGACCATGAATGTATTCACTTGACAAACTAGTGAATGCATTCACATTTTGATAGTAGGCCCCACTATCAATAAGCTCATCTAGATTTCTCATGTTCACTCTCTTTATTTTTTCACCTAAGTTTCAATGTGATAACATCTCTTGTTTAATTTCTTCGATGCCACATTAAACGTATGTGCTTTATATATTTTAGACAATTTTCTTCTTGGTCCCATTAAACATATGACTTTTCTAAATTATAAAAAGGTTTTGCTTACCAACCTAATAACTAAGGGATTGAAATTCAAAGTTGCACTTGTACATGCACATGGATCATGCATGTTAACATTTGTGTGGCAAAAAGGCAATCAAATATATACCACTAATTCACACGCATAAAATGACCCCCCCATTAAAAAATATGATAAATGCAAAGTAAACCAAACAAATCGAGTAAAGTTCAGGCGGTAGTTGATTTTGGGGGCAAGATTTACATTGATCTTACCCCTAGCCCTAAGGTAAAAAAAACATACTAACATTTAACAACATAGTTATGTATTCATTTGAGGTGTTTAGATGTTGGTATGCCTTTATTTCATGAGTCACCCTTGCTTTGATATCGTTCAAATGAGCTGAGCTAAGATTGGCTCAACAGCGATGTCTAATGTCCAACATCGCTGTTGGAAGACTTAATGCCAAACCATGTTTTTAGCTACCCAGGCATGACAGCGCTTTTGATTACCTCAACATCGCTGTTGGGCTGGTTTAGCCAGACCCATGGTTGGTTTAGTCACGCCGTTAGCCGATGTCAAAAACGCAAGTTCTCCAAAATAAAAACCAAGTTTAGAAAACATTTGTTTATTGCATTTTGCTAAGAAAACAAGTAAAACATCTTAAAAACCACGTCATTTAGTTGAAAACCACGGCTAACCAAGTTCGTGCCGTTTCGCATGGTTTTCACTAAACGACCAAAAACGGAAAGTGGTTTTTGAGGCGTTTTTGTTGGAGAACTATTTAAATATGCCCAGAATTAAAACCAGTCATAAAAAGTTGAAAACCACTTGGTTGGTTCAAACGCCAAAAACCAATGCCGAAAACCGAGAGCCGAACGCCGGTTCATGAAAACCGAACGCCGGATGGCTTGGTTTTTGGTTTGGGCGAACTCCAAGTGTTTTTAGCCAAGTTTAAAACTTAAGAAAAATATTTTTGAATATGCAAAAGAGATTTTTATGAATTGAGCCTAGAGAGCCAAGATTTGGAATTTTGTGCCGGTCTTGATCACATTAAGACCGACTCAATGCAATTCTAATTCTTCGTTCTTGATTCTGGGTTCTTGGTTCTCTAGTCATCATGCCATGTTCCTTCGCCTTAGTTTTGCTCACTTTAGCTTTGATATGTCGCGGCGGTTTGGCATTATCAAAACCTGTCATAAAAACAAACACAGTTTAGTACGACGTAGGCGTAAACCCGTGTTTCAACAATTTTCCCCTTTTTGATAATGGCAAACAAGACGGGGATATGCATACTAAGGGATATTTGTTTTTCAAAAGTTGTGAAAAAAGTTCCCCCTTAATTTGTGCTTAAAAATTTAGTTGGATTAAAATCAAACTGTCTCGTTTATAGAGACGTTCCCCCTTAGTATATGCATAGCCCTTTTCTTCCCCCTTTTGACATTAACAAAAAGATAAACGAAATGATTTTATTTAATAAAGGGAAATAGCAGAGTACAACGGAAGCATTAAAAGAAACAGGATAATTAAAGTAAAAGAGATAGAAATTCTAGGGGAGTCCTAGTTTTCGTCTTCGGTTTCCTCCTCGTCGTCGTTGACGTCCATCTCATCACCATCAATGGCATCGTCGAACTCGTCTTCATCCGGGGAGCTTGACGGGGCGTAGGAGTCATCGGCTTCGTCCTCGTCACCGTACACTTGCCCAAGGAACGTGCCGTGGTACGGTGGGGGGACGTAGTTGATGCCTTGGAAGTACGCGTTCATGGCGTACCCTTGGCGTTGAACAGCTACGTCGAGCCGTTCAAGGTAGCCACCCATCCCGTCAACTTTGAGGTGGAGCCGGTTGAGGGAGTCGGCGATGGAGGCAAGGTTGGCCCGGGCCTGGGGTTCGGTTGGGCCAGCGGCAGGGGCAGTGCGGCGTGGCTCGGCAGTGGCAGCCGCGGCGTTGTCCGACCGCTTGATGAAGGTTTGGTTGCTTATTGTCCAAATCTTCGTGGCCTTCGTGAGCGGGCCAACGGTGGTGGTTACCTTGAACCGTTCAAGAATGTCCATCACCAAAAACGGGTACGGGAGGAGGTGATCGTGGTCGGTGGACGCGGCGATCGTCATGTTGATCATGACTAACTTTGCCCAATTGATTGGGGCCGAATGCATGATCGCATGGATAAGCTTGAGGTCTTCACCGTGCATGATGGTGTGGCCGTGCTTCCTCGGTTTGATGATTCAGGAGACGATGTAGAGGACGAGGCGGCCTTCGGGGTTGGCAGAGTGGATGGTTGGGCGGCCCGAGGCATGGCGTTTGAGCTCGGTGATGTCAAGCTCGTTGAGGATAAGGCCCTCGTTGTTGAGCACCCAATCCTCTCCACCATAGTGAGACACATCGTCGCCTTGGAAGGGGAGGCCGGCGATGCACCCAAGCTGCTCCACGGTGAGCTCGATCGGCGTGCTCTTGACGAGCGAGTAGAGCACGTCGTCCTCACGCTGGAGGTTGGAGTAGAAGGCCCGGATCAGCGCCGGGTTGATCTCCTTTCGTGACCGGGAGACGAACGGCCAAAGGCCGGCTTGATGAAGCTGCGCGTCAAGGTCGTCGTAGCCCTGCAACTCCGGGTAACGTTCCGGGATGATTCGTGGGGGAGCCACAACTCGTTTGGAGAAGAAGGTGAGAAAACGGGTGCGCTCCTCCTCGGAATCAAACCAAAGGTATGACCCGTCGCCATAGTAGAGACGCTCCTCGGAGGATGACGTAGGCACCCGGGATTTGGACTTTGATTTCCCGGAGGTGGCGGCCCTGCTCTTGTCCTTGCCCATGATTAAGAAAGAAGAAAAAATTGTAAGTAGAGTGAGATATGCATGAAGAATGGAGAGAATTTGTGTTTGTGTGTGTAAAAATGAGGAGTGGAGGCTCCAATTTATAGAAAAGGAGGCCTCCAACGTCCAAAATTTCAAAAAATATGACTGTTGGAGCAATAAATGAAGGTGCAACGGATATTTTTTTTTGAAAATCTTGACCAGAACAGCGATGTTCTACTGGCGACATCGCTGTTAGGACAGCGCTGTTGTGCCTGGTACAGCGCTGTTTCAAAAGTTTCTGGAATTGTGAAAGGGTTTGAACCCATTTGAACAGCGCTGTTGGGTGTCTATACATCGCTGTTTTGCGATTAAAAAAAATTGTGAAAGAAAGGACATCGATGTTGAGAGTAAGACATCGCTGTTTAAAGAGTTCCGGGTTTTGGTAGAAAACAAAGTGTTTTGGGTAGACAACGATGTTTAAAAAAGAACATCGATGTTCAAAAAGTTTCTGGAAAGTGAAGATTTGAGGGACTCCCTGGGACAGCGCTGTTGGCTTGTTGTACAGCGCTGTTGGGAAACTTTCTGGCTGACGATGTTTCCCTCAACAGCGATGTTGTGTCTCCTGGACAACACACTGTTTGCATGGTTCCCCCTGATTTATGAACGGGGTACCTGCAAAAAAGAAAAAGTTCTCCGACGCTCAAGTTAGTAAATGTTTAAAAAATTTGGATGCACAACTTAGATCATCGTGGAGTCAAGGATTCTGAGTTCACTTCGAATGCGGAAGAACGACTCTTTCTCTAAAGGTTTTGTGAAAATGTCGGCTAATTGATTGTGTGTTTCAATAAACTCAATTTCGACATCACCTTTGTGAACATGATCTCTAATGAAATGATGCCTAATGTCAATGTGTTTTGTCCTTGAGTGAAGAACGGGGTTCTTCGTCAAGCTTATGGCGCTAGTATTGTCACAACGAAGAAGGACGTGATTAATACTAAGGCCATAGTCCACGAGTTGTTGCTTCATCCAAAGGATTTGAGCACAACAACTACCGCCGGCTACGTATTCCGCTTCGGTTGTGGATAACGCAACACTGACTTGTTTCTTGCTAAACCATGAAACTAAGGAACTACCAAGTAAGTGGCAAGTCCCACTCGTACTTTTACGGTCCAATTTGCAACCGACAAAGTCCGAGTCGGAGTAGCCAACGAGATGACAAGAAGAGCCTTTTGGATACCACAGTTCAACGTTGACCGTGCCGACAAGGTATTTCATGATCCGTTTCACCGCGGTTAGGTGCAATTCCTTCGGATACGATTGATACCTTGCGAAAAGGCAAATGCTAAACATGATATCCGGCCTACTAGCGGTAAGACAAAGAAGGGATCCGATCATACCTCGATACTTTTTGACCTCTACTTCCTTACCTTTCTCGTCTTTGTCAAGATGGTCAGACGTGCTCATCGGGTCGCCATGGCTTTGGCGTTGTCCAATTATAACCGTTTTAGGAGCTCCTTGCAGTATTTAGCTTGGCAAATGAACGTTCCATCTTTCATTTGCTTAACTTGGAATCCCAAAAAGAATGTGAGCTCGCCCATCATTGACATTTCAAATTCGCTAGTCATTAGCGTTGAGAATTCCTTGCACAAAGACTCGTTAGTAGCACCGAATATAATGTCGTCTACATAAACTTGAACCAAAAGGATGTTATTGTTTTTACTCTTGATAAAAAGTGTGGTGTCTACCTTTCCCCTTTGGAAACCACTATCCAAAAGAAATTTGCTCAAACGTTCGTACCAAGCACGCGGTGCTTGTTTAAGACCGTAGAGCGCTTTCT